GCTAATTTTAATCTATAAAATTATATAGAACAATTTAGAAAATGTTTTTTAGAAGGAAAATGTACACTTATTTCTTTAACAACAAAAAGGACTTCACTAACTTGTGAAAAAAGCATCAAAGTTATTTAATTGTATCTTATAAATGATTTAAAAATATTTCTGATGAACTTTAAATTCTTAGCTAAAAAAAGATTATATAAATATTTTACTTTAAACATTTTTTGAGCAATTTTTCAAAGTTTATCTAAAAGATATTGTTTTAAATAAAATCGGTCGCTTTTATTTTTTCCAAGTTTTATGAAAATAAGGTCTTTACTAAAACTTTTAGTCAATGCTAAATATTTGTTTCGAAAAGATTATTACATTTAGGAAATAAATCTTTGAAAACCCTTGACCTTAAAAAATATTGTTCCTCTTATATATACCTCTTCGAATTTCTCCGCCTCCTAATGTTTAATTGCCCTTATTTTTCAAAACAAACAAAGGACATGGCGACGGCGTTCGAGAAAAGTTCTCCCTAATCTCTAGACGAGGTATTCCGCGCTTTGCTCGAAAAAGGTAATAATCTCATCATCGAACTCTTTCAATTTCTCAAAATGATTGGTTTTGTTTCTTGGTTGTGGATAGAGATAGCACATATTAGTTTCAATAGAATTTTGGGATACCTAGATCCGGAACCGCCGGATGTGGACGGATCCGTGAAACAACTATCGAGATTTGGATCCGCCAATATCTGCGACTATCCAGATCCACACAATAATAGATAAAAAATATAAAAAAGCTAATAGGAAATATCATATAAAATATCTGAATTCAGATCTGTAAGCTTCAAACATTTTCAGAATCGGATCGGATATCCCTGATATTTTGCATGTCCATAGATGTGGATGATCTTGAAAGCTCAATTTTATTTCATCGTTGTTTGAAGTGAAATTGATTTGATGTGTTTCATTTATAGTTTCTTAACAAAAAATAATATTTTCATTTTTCGACTTGTATATAAACTTTTTTGTTACACAAGAAATTTAACATTTCGACGAAAAATAATTGTATATATTTTTCAAAAATAATATTTTATTTAAACTTCACTTCTTTCAAAATATAGGTTGTTTTGCAAATTTCTATTCAAAATATCGGATGTTTTACAAAATTTTGAAAATTATATATATATATATATATATATATATATAAAATTAATATTTTGCAACTATTTATATTTTGCAGTCTTTTTTATATATAATTATTTCAAAACAAAACTACAGTAGAACCTAATTGTCCGGTCCCAAGTCGGACCAGTGTAAAATTTGACAAAATTCGATAAGATAATAAGATAATATTTTATTCATAATCCATATATAAATATATTATCTTATTAATATCATAAATTAATAATCATATAAATTTACACACACACACATATATATATACTCCATAAACTTCCAAAAATAGCACTAGTAAACTTACTATTAGTGTTTTTGTTCTAAAAATTTTATCACTAGCTTTTTTTTTTCAATAATACCACAACTTTATATAAAAGCTATTCAACAAAATAAATTAGAAATAAATTTAAAATATTATATTTGGGTTCTCTATTTCCAATTTAGGGTATATATTTCCACCATTTAAAAGAGATTTTGATTTATTTTAATATTAGTTTATGGTATTATATTTGGGTTCCCTATTTCCAATTTAGGGTATATATTTTCACCATTTAAAAGAGATTTTTATTTTAATATTAGTTTGTGGTATTATATTTGGGTTCCCTATTTCCAAATTAGGGTATATATTTATACTATTTAAAAACAATTTTGATTCAATTTAATATTAGATTAGTGTTTGCTTTCTTTTTTATTTTCTATCTTATATTTTCATTAAGTTTAATTGAAGTTTATGGTGCTATTTGTGGAACTTTTCAAATGAGGTGCTATTTTTGGAAAAAACAATTTTTTTGGGGCTATTTGTGTCAATCTCCCTTTTAAAAATTGAATTTTCGTTAGAACCCTTGTCTAAATTTTATTGAATAAAATTATTGGTCTATTGTGGTTTAAAATTATAGTGTTTTAGTATACTCTTTAACTGTATCATAAAATAGTCAAGATTTTCTGTAAATTTTTAATTTTTGAATATGCATCATTCTAATTTTGATGGTCTTATAGCTGTTAAAATACGATAATTGAGGTCATTAATCATAAATTTGAATTAACGTATATAGCTTGTATAAGTAAATTCACTTATAGTCTAAGTAATTTTTATTGTCTATTTTTTTTTCAATTTTTTTTCTTTTAACTATTAAAATTTCAAATCCAAAATTACAAAATTTATACCATTCAAAACATTAATTTTATTTAGATAAAATTGTCTCAATTCATTTCTTTCTAAAATTTTGAGAACTAAAATAAATCCTTTTATAAATTAATATTTATTAATTTACACTATAAATTAATATTTATTAATATATAAATAAATTAATATTACTATAAATTAATAAAATATCATGGTCTCAATAATTTTAATTTATAGAGGTTTTACTGTAAATGATAGTTTGTAAAACAAAAATAAATTTCTTAAAATATAAACATTTACGTATATTTTGAAACATAAGGATCACATAAAACAGTAAAACTTTCTCTGTTAACATAAAAAGTATAAACGCATAGTATTACATTCAAAATATATATGATATATATCTTGAATGTTACTCTTGAGAAAAGGCATGCGACTTTACAAATGTACACAAAAACCAATCGTCGATGATTTTCAAAGAAGAAAAGAAGCCTAACCTTTCGTCTTCTCTTTTTTTTTTTCTTTATCACCTTTCGTCTTCTCGCTTCCCTTTAGCTACAAAACTCTTCTTTGATACTTAAGAAAGTTTTCTCCATTTTTCTTCTTATGGTCTCACTTCTCATTTCGTATGTGTCTCCAACGATTTTGGTTTTGAGGGTACTTGCTTCTTCTTACAGGAGTTACATGTCTTTGTTCAGGTTGTAAGTGTTGATCTGTTTCTGTCACAAAATGGGTTCGAAAAAGAAGGGTTTTGATGGTTCTAGAGATATAATCAGTGGTTTACCAGACGCAATGATTTGTCACATCTTATCATTTCTTCCAACTAAAGAAGCTGCTTCAACTACTGTTCTTGCCAAAAGATGGAAGCCTTTGCTTGCTTTTTTGTCAAATCTTGACTTTGATCAATCCTTCTGTTCCAATCCTCTAATGACTGTTGAAGAGAGGAGACAGAGTTCTGAAAGCTTTATGCTTTTCGTGGATGGTGTATTGGCTTTGCAAGCGGAAGAGAATGCTCCGTTGAACAGATTCCACGTTAAGTGTGAAGATGTTGATCAAAACGCGGTGCTTGAATGGATACCCAAAGTGTTGAAACGTGGTGTGTTAGATATTGATCTACACATGCCATATTCGTCTCGCCATTTTCATCCCAACTCGGTTTTTTATCCTCTGCCTTCAGAGATCTTTACGAGCAAGAAATTGGTTAGGCTGAAGATACAGTTTAAGGATGGTGTCAAGATTGATGTGGAAGGTGATGTTTCTCTTCCGAAGCTTAAGACTCTCCATCTTGATTATGTTAAGATAGATACCAGAATGTTTCAAAAGCTTCTTTCTGGCTGTCACGCGATCGAAGAATTATTGCTGTTTAATTTGATATGGGAAGAGTCTTCAGAGCCTGAACCTTGCTTAGTGACCGTTTCTGCCCCTACCCTCAAGATACTCAAGTTTTCTCGTTTTGAAAATTTTATTAAGGTTAAAGATTTCAAACCGATCTTGTTATTGTCATTTGATTTTCCGAAGCTGGTCTACCTAGAGTACTTGGATACAATTGCGGACATGTATCAACAAGTGAGTTTTGACTCACTTGTCGAAGCTAAACTCGGTCTTTGTAAGAACCCTAAACAGATTAAAGATGACAAGAATAATGTAACAAAGCTGTTCATGGGTATATGCAATGTCAAGATTCTCCACTTGACTGAAGACGCTCTTAGGGTTAGTCAGATCTTTCTCCTAATCTTTTTAATTTCTACTCAGATATTTGAATAGTCTAGTCTCTGTTTGAGTTGATGTTGAAAATTCACAAGTGAGTTTGATTTGGTTTTGTTTCAGGTACTTGCTTGCTGCCGTGAAACAATGCCGGTATTCGAGAACCTGATTCAGTTAACTATTAGTACTGGACTACATGTAGGATGGAAATCATTACCACCACTACTCCAGAATAGTCCAAATCTACAAACCCTTGTTTTCGAGGTACCGTGTACATCTTTTAAATCAACCGCTGACATGCTTTTGAAACACACATAATTAGACTTTGATACTGATTCTTTTATGTTTCAGGGACTGCATCATAAATATAAGAAAAGATATGAGAGAGATTGCGGGCACGAGGACAGGCGGTGCATATGCAAAGGTCAGGATAATATGAGGGTGAAGAAGGATATTGATGCTTGCCTATCATCAAGTCCAGTGAAAGTTATAAAGATATTGAATTATGGTAAAAATAGTGATGTTGAAGAAGATGTAGCGGATCAGTTAGAGCAGGTCAAGCAATTCCTAGAGACAATGCCGGAGCTCGAACAAGTGATACTCTACTACAATACATCAAATGATGAAGATGTGATGAAAGTATGCATGAAACTTCAGAAGCTTCGCAGAGTAGCTTCAGCCAAGTGTGAGGTCCAAATAATCTCTGATAAGCTCAACTTATCGATTTAGAAGATCGTTTTCCGGTTTCTCAGCCATGGATATGTTTCAGTCAAGCTACAAGAAGTTCACATAGTTGCTAAAATCTCTAAACTCTGTTTCTTCCTTTTGCTCTTTGGTTTTTGTTTTCTTCATTGGATTTTATCTTACAGACCAACGAACCTTTTGTGTTCTTTTGTTGATTTTTGTTATGAATTTGTGTTTTCTATGTTTTTATTTTACGGTGTTAGTAACTTGCTGGTCAAGTAAACCAAATCAAACCTGACAAATTTAGATCAAACTAAACCTGTAAACCACACAAGTTCCATAATTTATTTAGTTAGGTCTGGAACCAAAAACAATAGATTTGTCTTAAGTAAAAAGAAGTGGCCTAACAACATTTAATTTGCGAGTTTGTGGCCATCAAGCCACACAAGGTTTGGCACAACCTGGCGGACAAAGGAGCTGAACTCTTCCCCTGCAAATATTAGGTCGTTGCCTCTTATATCTAACTGCTTCAGTTTCATCAAATCTCTAAGCACCAAATACGCATCCCAGTATTTACAAGGCACCTCTCTTCCAACTTCACCCGAATTAGAGAGCGGCGAAGAACAAAGGTACCTTGTTGTGTCCACTGGATGCTCCCTGCCGATGTGGTTATGTGAAACATTCAACACTCTAAGCTGCTTCAGATGTCTTAGAGAGTCAAGTGCTGAGAAGCTCCTGATTCTGTTGTGACTCAGATTTAGGCAACAGAGAAGCTGCATCGCCTCCAATCCTACATACAGACCCATACATAGTTAAAAGATCCAACAACTGATATAGAACATGACTCAAAAAGCGTTAGAAAACACACTACATAGTGTACCTTCAGCTGAATGAAGCTCATTGTAACTGAGATCTAACATTTGAACAAATAGCAACTTCTCAACCGCGGCTATCCGAGATAGTGTTAAGTTATTGAGCCTTAGACATACAATATTGTTCATTTTCCTGTACCGAAAGAGGTGTCTTGACATGGACTTGGTGCTTGAAGTCACCTGTGCATCAACATCAACAGTCCGATAAAAAACTTTAAGAGCAGAAACCCAACTTGACAGCTAAAAGGGAGACTAAGTATATATGTACCTTGTGGAGAAGAGCTACGCTATGCTCATCCTTGTAGTACTGGGCATGCCAAGAATCAAGGGCAATGAGATCGTTATAGAGGTGGAGGATTTCTCTATAATGGACACCTTTAACAGCATCATCCGGGATCATAGTTTCATCAGCCATCAAAAGCCTTGCAAGAATGAGCTTTCCAAATTTGCTAAACAAGGAAAGAACAAGAACTCAAAAGGTCAAGACTCTATTCTAATAAATCTAGAAAGTTTACAAGATTATTTATACCTGTCAGGCAAATTACGAAGATGATCAATCTCTATCTTTATAGCTTTCTTACGCCACTCAAAACCCTCATCAGCGTTTAAAGCAATACGAGAAATCAAATCCTTGGACTGTGCATCATCCCAATTGTCAAAACCATCCGTCCATGAAACAATGCTTTGTTGTGACGACTCTTCGACAGTGTCATGAATATGCAGTGTAAACACAAACTCATAAGGAGCGCTCAAGTTACTTCCCATGGAAGAAACAATTCCTCCAAGGCTGACCTTGACTTTGTATTCCTTGCGACTAAAGCAAGGTTCTCCACTGTCAAATTTCAGATGAGCAACCCAAACACAAGAGTCCACTTGAGAGTTTTTGTTATCCGAAACTGGTTCCCAAACAAGGTCCTCATGTCCTTGGAGTTCAGAATCAATAGTAACAGTAGACGAGTTAACTCCACTGACGGCTTGGTCAAAGTAAAGAATCAGTGGAAAAGAACCAGACTCTGAACAGAAAGTAGTGATAATGGAACCATCTGATGGCCATGAGGAAAAGCGAAGAGGAGTCTCCATTTTAAGAGTTTGATCAAGAAGCCAAAGGTAATAAAACCAGCCACTTTGTTTCTCTTCGTCCGTAAAAATAGCATTATGTACATAATCAAGTTCACGACGAATCGTTTCCTTTGGCATAAACCCATCAGCCTTTTTTGCCACTAAACTTGAAACAAGTACACTGCAGAATTTAACAAAAAAGCAAATTATATAAATCTCTCTCACCATCAATATAATCTAGTTCTTGAAATATGATGCATACCTACGATAGTGCCACGCAGAATAGATGCTGAAACAAATATCATTGATCATATCAGTATACTGCAACTCATCTTCTTCGGACGTCTCGGTTAGCTCCACAACAAACCTGGAACAAGACAAGACATGAATAAATATGCAAAAGCTGAGATTGACAATGTGCCCCTAAATCTCTCACCTGCGATAGTTCCAAGCGTGAAAGTTCCTGAGATTGTCGTGCTTTCGATCGTCTTGCTTTTGATAGTCACTCACAAGTTGTTGCTTTTGATAGTCATTCAAAAGTTGCAATTCATTTTCTAAGGAGGTATAATAATGTCCTTTTTTACTTAAAACCCAATTTCGATGATACCAAGCTTCATAGGACTTAGGGTTTCGGTCCAATGCCTTTTTTACCTGAGCATTAACAACCAAAGGATCATGAGCAAAATTGACATGAATGGGATGTGAAACTTACACAGCAATCAATCACTTACGACTCCAAGTTCTTCATCGATGATAGAGTTGACCAAGCTTGGATCAGAGTCGTCGTTGATTCGGGACACGAGGGCGAGTTTTCGATAATTCCAAGCAGTGTATGCCTCCGGATTGATACCTAGAAGCTTTGCGCTTAATTGAATTGCTTCCTGTGTGTAACTAGAAACCAAAACCAAATGATTGTTTGATTGAGAGGAAGGAAGAAGAAGAAGAAGAAGAAGAAGAGTGTACGTACATCTTTTGATGGTGATTGGACATGAACTGGGACTGGAGCGACCGGAGCTCAAGGGCTTTAGCTGCGGTCTCTTCTGGCTTCGAAGCCTCGTTCCTCCCACGACCGTGCATTGAGATTTAGGGAATTGCTTCACAATGACGTCTTCTAGTTTTGGCTTCCCATCGGAAACCTAGAAACAACAATATATAGATGATAAAAGAACCGGTCCGAGTAAACCGAGTTCAATCAAAAATTACGATACCGGTTCAATTGAAAATTACGAAAATGATTTCGTGGGATAAATTAATGTTGTAGCTTTCTTCTCCTTTTGACTGCGAATGTTGAATACCTTTTGACTGAGTAGTAAAATTGGCCAATTAGGTGTGGATTATCATCTAACAAAAAAAGAAGAAGGTGGAGGCTTGTAGGACACGTAAACGTAGGAGTCACGTGTCAATACCGAGGAGCACAACACTGCAACTCCACCGCCTTAGAGTAACCACAGTTTTAACTTAAGACTCTTGAGAAACAATGCGACTATACAAACACACACACGAAAACAGTGCTCTGCTTTGATTCTTAGGTAAGAATTCTTCTTATGGTCTCACTTTTCAGTTTTCATGTCTATTTTGTCTCCAACGATTGGGTTTTGTAGTGTATTTGTCTCTGTCTCTTAACATTTTTTTGTTCTCGGTTATGTATCTTAATATAGCGATTTAGATCATCTGATGTGGTTTAGTGTACATAGTGTTTCAATAGAAACCTCAAAGACCTTGTTTGCTACTTTGTTATTTGACATCCTGTTGTTTCGAATTTCTTACCGGAGGACTTTCATGTCTTTTGTTCAGGTTATAAGTGTTGTTGTTCTGTGTCTGTCTGAAAATGAAATCGAAAAAGAAAAAGAATGTTATTGGTGGTCCAAGAGATTTAATCAGTGGTTTACGAGACGCACTAATTTGCCATATCTTATCCTTCCTTCCAACTAAAGAGGCTGCTTCAACAACTGTTCTTGCCAAAAGATGGAAACATTTACTTGCTTTTGTACCAAATCTTGACTTTGATGACTCCATCTACTTCCATCCTCGAGAAAGTAATAAGAAGAATTCTAAAAGTTTTATGGATTTCGTGGATAGTATATTGGCTTTGCAAGCAAATGCGAATTCTCCTCCTTTGAACAGATTCCATCTTAAGTGTAAAGATGTTGTCGATGAATCGCGGGTGTTGGAGTGGATACCTAATGTTTTGAAACGTGGTGTATCAGATCTTGATGTCTACATTTCTTCGTCTTGGGATTCTATGGACTCGAGTTTTTATACCCTGCCTCCAGAGGTCTATGTGAGCAAGACATTGGTTAGGCTGAGAATAGGATTTAAAGATGGCGTTGGCATTGATGTGGAAGGTGATGTTTCTCTTCCGAAGCTCAAGATACTCCATCTTGATCATTTTCAGATAAACAAGAGTATGTTTGCCAAGCTTCTTTCTGGCTGTCACGCGCTCGAAGAATTAGTCCTGGTTAATTTGATGTGGCACGAGCGTCGGGTTTATTTGATGTCGCGGGAACCTTGCTACGTGACCGTGTCTATCCCAAGACTCAAGAGACTAAAGTTTTTTCGTTCTAAAAGATATGATGAGGCTAACAGGAGTGTGTCATTGTCATTTGATAATCCAAATCTGGTCTACCTAGAATATTCTGATACTATTGCGGATAGGTATCAACAAGTGAGTTTTGATTCGCTTGTTGAAGCTAGTCTCGGACTTCGAATTACAAGTGATCAGATCTTGAAGGCATGGTATGCAACAGAAAATTATTTGGAACCCAAGGAGAGAAGTAATGTAACAAAGCTTCTCATGGGAATACGCAATGTCAAGATTCTATACTTGTCTGATGACACTCTTGAGGTCAGTCCCAACTTTCTACTAATCTTTTGTTAAACATCTTTCTCCTAATGTTTTGTTATTTGCCACTCAAAAATGTAAAAGAAGAAGAAATAAAACAATTTGGATAAGTCTTGTTTCTGTTAATAGAGCAATGGTTAAGGGCTTGACTTGATTTGTTTTTTGTTTTTTCAGGTACTTGGTTGCTGCCGTGATACGATACCGGTATTCCGAAACCTGATTCAGTTAACTATTAAGACTGCACCAGATATAATATGGAAATCATTGCCAACTCTACTCAAGAATTGTCCAAATCTAGTAACCCTTGTCTTCGAAGTACTATACATACACAATCCTTTAAATCAACTGTTACCTCGTTTTTCGACACACAATTTGATTTTGAAACTGTTTCCTTTGTTTTTTAGGGACTGCATCACAAACACACAAATAGATGTGATGAAGACGAAGACGGGTGCTTGTGCAAATATCGATATAATTGGGGAGGGGAGATGGATGTTCGTACTTGCCTATCATCAATTCCGGTAAAGGTTCTAAAGATATTGAAGTTTGGTGAAACTTTTGATGACCATGATGATGATGATGATGATGATGATGATGATGATGATGATGGATCTTGTGATGAAATTGGATATGACATAAAGGAGCAGATAAAGCAGGTCAAGTACTTCCTAGAGACAATGCCGGATCTTGAACAAATGATATTGTACTACAATACACCAAATGATGAAGATGTGATGAAACTGTGCAAGCAACTTCAGAAGCTTCGTAGAGTAGCTTCAGCCAAGTGCATCTACTATGTCGACCAAACGGGGTGGAAGAAGATACTTTTCTAATTTCAAAAATCTCAGATAATCTGAGTTTGTAGAGTTGCTAAAAGCTGTAAAGTACTCAATACAAGATTCTCTTTGCTTCTTCCGTTTATTCTTCCTTTGATGACTCTCTTTTCTTTTCTTGTTTCTTGGTTTCACTTCCCTTAATGTCTTGTGTTTAATGCTTTCTTCTTTTGACTGAGAATGGTGATAATCTTTTGTTTGTCTCTCTTCTTCTACTTTTCTAGTCTGTTGAAGAAAATTAGCACTCATTGTTTACTTCTTGAAATGGATGACAGTTTCTTGATTATTATGAATTGTTATAATGCTACTGCACTTAAAAGAGTTTATTATACAGACTAAAATCTGCGAGAAACAGAGCAAAACAGAACATATAATGGCTTCTTTAGATTCCTAAACATCAAAAAAAATGCAACTACCGACAAAAACTCCTGCTCACTCCTGAATTAACCCCAAAAACGGAAAAAAAATATATGAAACGTGACGCTGAAGCCAATGGATTTTGTTGAGAAAATTCTGAGAAAGTAAAAACAAATCTCACTTTGTTACGTTTTCAAATCATGTTTTGTGTGCTTACTCATTTCCACGTAACCTCTGCAATCACCACTTATGACAATATATATAGACTAATATGATCAATTTATAGAATGAAGGTTAAATCATCTTCTATTGAATTTAATATTTAGACAAAATCATCTTTCATTTTCACATATCTTTACATTCATTGACTAACCTTTGATTTTGGAGAATTATATGAAATAAGACAAAATGAATTTAAAATAGGAATATTGTAACTTGTAAGCATATAATTTAAGACCAAATGAGTGCTTGTTTAAAACAAGACAAAATGAATATATATGATTTACCAATTAAATAAAAAAAAATCTTGAGTACAATTATAGGACTTATCAAATTTTCGTAGTCCGTAGATTAAAAGCAAAACGTATAATTTAATTATCATTATTTTAGCCGTACGCAAAGAAATCGAGGTTATGGTGGTACATAGAGGAGACATATCTCATCAAAACATCAACGTTATTGAAGACGTTGCAATGCATTAAATAAAAAAAAAGGTGTATACTATATACTATCATACCTACCTTTCATTTATTAAGGAACAATTTAATTGACTTATCCTATAGACCCTACATCATGTCGTGCATACATCAAAAAATTTATAACAATTCATATTTTAACTTTATGTTTACCTTACATGTACTAGTTAAAAATTCATAACAAAATCAATAATAAATAAAACGCGCATACATAACGTGAGTCCACACCTAATTTTCAATACTCACCATGAAAATGACTCATTAAATATGAATTGTTAATAAATATATTCCACTATATATTAATTGAGCGTAACTCCATCACATATTTTTCAACTTTAACACAAAACCGTCACGTAGTTTCCTTTATAGCCCATACTATTGTTATACATCATATTCAAAGGTAGATAACTCTAAACTCAACGGTTACGATACGTACGTTGCATATATATCATAAATGCATCAAACTTCAATTCAACACATTAATTATCAAAAAAAGAAAACAAAAACTTATATTAGTATATACATTCACATACGTCCAAACGATTATTCATTTAATTTCCAAAATGTTATAAAAAGGAAAAGAAGACTCTAATCTCATAAGTCATAACATGTTTATATTTATTAATTTATATCAAATAAACGACTTAGATGTATATTATAATCATGCACATGAAATACCAACGACTCGACTCGCCGGGAATCTCTCGGACACGGTCTTCCTAACAAGAGAGTTAATCTCAGGGCTCACTTCCTTCTCCGTTGACTCTGGAATAGTTGTCAACGAACCCGTTTTGTCATAAACGACGTAGTATCGATCTTTATCGCCACCACCGTGACCCACCGCCTTGTAGACCGGCGAAGAAGGAGTGCTTAAGCTTTGGTGCTGTTTAGGTTTGAACACTGACTTCAAGAATCTCTGTAGAGAACGAGAGATCTTGTTCGAGTGTTTCTTTCCACCGGAGGAGGAAGAAGAAGAAGTTGTCGGTGGAGGAGGAAGAGGAGGAGAATATTCCGGCGAAAGTGAGTTGAGATAAGGGACACGGCGGTCGGGGAGGTGAGACATGGACATGGTTCTGGCGGAAGAAGCAGAGATGGCTGAGTCGAGTTGACGTTTGAACGAGTTTAGCTCGAACGAGTCGTAGAGAGTGCTCCCACAGTCCCATACGTGTGGACTTGTCTTCTTATGCTTCATGTTAGAAAGATTATTGTTGTTAGTCTCTTTCTTCTTCTCCTCTTCCTTTTTGGTGTTTTCTTCGTTTTGACTCGTAAATTTTTTGTCTGCAAAATTTGTGAAAGATTATACATAGTTAGTTAGTTACACACATAGTACTTTATAATATAGCTAAATAAAACAATAAATGAAAGACTAATTAAGTTTTGATAATCTCTATT